ACCCAGGTGCTTTCTGCCCTGACATCTTTCCTTGTGGTCACTTTAAATAACTCATTTGTGATTCACCACATCTTAGACCAGCAGTAGAGGTACACTAGGATGAAATTTGGCACAGCAATTCTGTCTTTCTTGACATATTATCTAAGAAGCTATATATTTTTCCTGTTGAAAATGGAAAATGGATCCAGTTCCAGAAACTATTTGGAAAGGAAATAAAAAAAAGTACATCTTTCTTATCATTTCCATTAAGTGGTCACCCAGGCTTGGATCTGGCACATGAACCTGTTTCAAGACTGGCTTTGCTGGTCATAACCATGACCTCTAACTCTGGTCTGGTCTAAGTTTCCTGATGGAAACTCCAGTTGATTCTCTTTGCTCTGCATTGTTTTACGAAGTCTATTTCAGTTTATTTATGTTGAGCTCTATTGTGTTAATGAAAAATTTCTCACGAGCCAGAATTAGGGAGCAGCTATGTACAATTGTGTTTTATGAAAATCACAGTCAAGGATTAGAAAGAGAAGTGAAATTGGTTATTCCACCCACTCCGTGGAAGGAAGACTGGGCAACTTCCATAAAGATTTACCACCTCAGAAACCCAGTGGAGGTCACTATGAGTCAGAATTGACTGGGTGTCAGTGAGTTTGATCTTTTGGTTTTGTATTGTTAACACATGAAAAAAGAGATTCACCTCTCAAACATAATGTGTTTTAATCCTAATTTGCAAGCTTACCTTTTGGTGACATTGTATAAATTAGTCCCTGTTTTCATTCTCTTTCTCTCAAAACAAAGGTATGGGCTCCTGAGTCTTCCTGTAGGGCATTCTGGAATCAATTTGGTAAACTTGTCAACATATTAAAACCAACCAGCTGCTGTTGAGTCTATTTCAACTCATGATGGCCCCATGTGTGTCAGAGTAGAACTGTGCTCCATAGAGCTTTCAATGGCTGATAATTTGGAAATAAATCGGCAGGACTTTCTTCCAAGGCATCTCTGGGTGAACTTGAACTTTCAACCTTATGGTTAGCAGCCAGTTGTGTTCACCATTTGCACCACTCAGATCTCCTTCCAACATACTACTTTCCTCTTAAGCTCCTACTTTAGAAAAACTAGGCAAACATTTACCCATTAGTAGGCAATAAAGTACTTTAAAAGGCTCCTACTTGCTTCAAAAAGGAGCTCTGGTAGCATAGTGCCTAAGGCACTTGACTGCTAGCCAGAAGGTTGGCGGTTCAAACCCACCAGCCACTCCTCGGAAGGAAGGTTGGGCAATCTACTTCCGTAGTGATACTGCCCTGGAAACCCAAGGAAGGGTTGCTTTGACAGACCCCAAGGAGGGTTCTGACTTGACAGCACATAACAACAACAACTTGCTTCAAAAGCAAGACTGGAACTTTAGGTTACCAAAAGACTTATCAACAACCAAACCAGCCACAGTGGGGCCAATAAAAGGAAGAAGATAAGTAGACCTTCTATTTGGACTCTTCTCAAGGAGACTATTTAATCTTACCATTTCCTTTTTAAAAATGAAGTTATAAGTATCTTCACTACCAAACTATTACTCCCTTTATTTCTGCCCACCCTGGGTTAAGGTCTTGCCTCTCCCTAGCAACCTCCAAGGTGATAAACAAGTACAGGAAGCCTACATATAGGGCACAGCAGCCAATAAGCACACATGGGAGGAAGGAGGATAAAGGAGACTGGCCAGGAAGATCAGTGGGTTACCATGGGATGTTTCCAAGGCCATGTCTTGGGTAACTCCTGGCAGCCACTGGTAGCTTACTGTCTTAATCCATTAGTCTCCTTCCAAATGCCAGGCTGGACTCTAAGAATTGGAAGAGAGCACGTGGATGGCTGAAAAGTCAGGACACAGAGTCACCAAGAGGCAGGGTCCAGTATCACTTTCCTAGGGGTCACTTCTTATGGAGGACAAAAGTTATGTCTCCTTTCAACTGAACAGCAGGACTGATTGAGCATGAGTTTCTTGATTGGATCCCACCAGTGTGGATTTATAAACAGGAGAAAGCTGCAATTCTGACTTGAGGGGATTCGTGAGCCTGGAAACAATTCAGATTCATGTCCTCCCTGAGACTGGGTGGAAATAGACAGTGGGTAAATGCCAACTGGACAAGCACAGCAAGTCGTTTCAGAACCCTAGCACATGGTTTCAGAAACCCAGCTTGTGTTTAAGAAGGAAGCCAATCAATTAAAGCTCCCTGAATTGGCCTTCTGGCATCACACAATGGTGACAGGATCTAACTTCTGCCCCTTGGCTCCATGTAAAAGGTCACTCTTGCCCCAAGGATGCTGTGCATAGGATCAGTGTCTGACTGGCAGGTCTGGGAGACTGACTCAAGCAGCTTTATATGCACCCAAAGAGCTGATAAATTAAGCAACACAAGGAGTTAGAAATAATTCATGATAATGAGGTCTTGCATGTTTACTCTTGCATGTAAATTATACTTTACAAAGTGCTTTCTCATACCCTTAGTTCCTGAGAAGAGAGGATACTCTAAAATCTGTTTTAAATCTATTAAATACCCAGAATCACATTTCTTCAAACCAGTTCTTTAAGATATATTCCTGTGAGCACATAAAGGCAACTGTATCAATGCTCCTTAGAAGTGAGGATGATGAGACTCTGGATGTATCTTTACAAAAACCCAGTCTCTAGAAAAAAACATCGTATTTGGTAGAGAGTCAGGGAAAATGGGGGAATGCCTCTGTGGTAGTTAAGGTTGTGTGTCAAGTTGGCTGGGCCTGGTTGAGTGGCTGGGCAGCTGGCGGTAGTTATTCCCTATGATGAGACTGGCAATCACCTCCATGGTGGGATCTAACACAAGCAGCTGAGTAGCTGCTTTAGGGCTGTGGTCTGCTTGCTGTATATAAGCAGCAGCTTTGGGAATGGTCTCTAGCTTATGGCATGCTTGAAGCCTACATGTAGCCATGTCGTTGTTCAGCAGCCTTCCATGCTCTGCTGATCGTGGGACTTTCAATGGACTTGAATCAATGGCCTGCTACATCGTTTGGTAGCATTGGAACTGTGCCTTTTTACTTGTCAACTTTGGGTTTGTCAGCCTCAACAGCCAACAGCTATCTGAGAGAAGCCTCTAGCTTCAGTGGGCCAGGAGCAGGAGGCAGAGCTGAAGCCCAAGGTCAAGGGGCTTTCACCCATCCCCTAGAGCCTGGCACTTTGAACTTGGACTTAAAGCATTCAAAATTGTAAGAGAATACACCCTTGTTTGTTAAAGCCATCACATTTGTGGTACAGTCCTGTCAGAGCGGCACCAGGGAACCAGAACACCGTAGATGAGATGGACTGACACAAAAGCCACAACAATGACTCAAACATACCAAGGATCATGAAGATGGGGCAAGACCAGGCACTGTTTTCATTCTCTTCTACATAAGTCACCATGAGCTGGAGGTCACGCAATGGCAGCTAACAACAACAAATTAATTAGCAATAAAATCTGGGATCCACTATTGTGTAGTTTCTAACCACTGTTATGAAGTCGTGAAATCATTTTGTTATCAAGTCATGAAGCCATGACCTCCCCTTTGATGCCTCATAGGTCATGGGCAATGCTTCCCACTGCTAACACTGGATATAACATCCTTAAAAATAACACCACAACAATAATGCCTAAAGGATCCCCAGACATATTAAAAAAAAATCTAGATGTATATGTAATATTTACAGAATACTAAATATATGGCTATTCAGAAACATTTACATAGTTGCAGCATGCCGATTCAGCCAAGGCATTATTGAATGGCATGTCCCTTGAATCAATGCCTTTGTTAAAGCATTATGTGGTTACAGCGAATGTTCAAACTGCTACTAGCAACCATAATCAACAAAGGTAAGATTAAATAAACACATCTACTGAATAATGTCCATGTATTTGGTAAATAAGCAACTCCACTTTCCTCTAGTTAACCTCAACACTTGAGGTTGGGCTAATGCTGATATTCTTTGCTTAATATTTTTATCTTCTCCATGGTGTTATTTTGTTCTTTGAAAGTTACTTTGCCTAATGTTATTATTAAGCTGGTGTCCATATGAGCCAATAAGAGTCCCTAAGGTCTCTGGGTTGCACAAATGGTTTGCATTGACTTCTAACCTAAAGGTTGGCAGTTTGAACCCATGCAGCTGTGTCAAAGAAGAGAGGCCTGGGAATCTGATTTTGTAACCATTATAGCAAGAAATGGGGCAATCTACTTCCCTAGTGATACCGCCTCGGAAACCCAAGGAGGGGTCGCTATGAGACAGGTCTGACTCAATGGCACATAACAACGACAACAACATAGCAAGAAAACTCTATGGAGCAATTCTGCTCTGTAGCACAGAAGTTGCCATGAGTTGGAATCTTGGATGGCAACAGGTTTTTGTTTGTTTGTTTGTTATTGTTTGTTTGCTCATTTAGCTTACACCTAGCATTAGGCACAGGAGCTCTGGTGGTGTAGTAGATAAGGAACTTGGCTGCTAACCAGAAGGTGGTTCAAAGCCACCAGTTGCTCCACAGAAGGAATATGGGTGATCTACTTCTGTAAAGATTTACAGCCTGGGAAACCCAATGGGGGTAGCTATGAGTTGGAATCAACTCGATAGCAGTGAGTTTTGTTGTTGTTGTTGTTTAGCATGTGGCACAAGGGAACACTGTATTAAAAGTCAGATTTTGAGTAATACACTTTTTACCAAGGAGCCTGGGACATAATGGTTAAGCACTTGGATGCTAACTGAAAGGTTCAAACCCACCACAGGAAAAAAACCTGGTGAACTGCTTCCAGAAAAATTGCAGCCTAGAAAACCCTATGGTGCAGTTCTGCTTGGCCCTATAGGTTTGCTATTAGTTGGAAACAACTTGCTGGCATAGATCACCACTTTTTACTGAACAGCCAAAACAACACAGAGAAGGCTATTTTATACACCACAAATCTCCTACCCAGCAGTGAAAAGTAACCCTGCCAATTAGAAGCATACTGGATATGAGTGGTACCTTTGTGACAGACAGTTCCTTGGATTTAGATTCAAACAGGTGCTCCAGTCTGGAAGTATCCACTTTAATGGGTTCCAGTTTCGACCACAGGAATTCTCGGCAGCGTCGGTTGTTTTTACACGGCCACTCAAAAGGCCGAACTTCATTCCAGAACAGACGGATGGTCTTCTTTTTCTTAGTGAATGCCGGCTGACCCCTAGGTACCTGGGGCCACCCTAAGCCCTGAGGAGCATTGAACATTGGAGGAGGAGCCAATAAATTACTGGGGACTGGAGGTGGGGGCACGTTGTCCAACAGGGGTGGAGGGGGTGGGGGTGGCAAACCCAGGAAAGTAGGTGGGGGAGGGGGTGGAGGTCCTGGGGTCTCCTTGTGACCCAGTTCCTCATCTAGGACATCGATGTCATCCTCCTCCCCCAAGTCAGTGAAATCCATATCTTGGATTCTGAGCTCCCTTGGATTGGCCATGAGCTGGTCCCAGATGTAGTCAGACTCTGTCTTGGGCTGTGCTGGGGCTTTTTCCGGAACACTGTCATCGGGCTCATCGTTGGGAGAGATGGGCTCTTTCCCCAGGTCCCCACTGTTGAACTTCTCAGCAAAGGCTTTCACACTGCCCCGATTGTCCAGACAGCCAATGTCCAACCTCCTGATGTTCTCGTCCTGGGCCTGAGAGTGGGCCTGCAGGGTGGATATCCTGCTGGCAAGGCTGGCTACTGCCTCTGCCCCCTGCTCAGTCCTCCCTGTCTCACCCTCTTCCTTCTCCTCGTCATCTGTGGGCTTTCTGTTATGGGCATACAGCATGTCCAGCATGAACCGTTTGTTAGTGAGGATGTCGCCACACTGTTCATTTACACCATCATCCTGAACACCTGAGGACCACAAACCTGGAAGTATACAAGAGCAAAAAAATAAGCAAGTGGCAGAGGGCTCATACCATGAAAAAACACACTGGGAAATCAGTGACTTTTACTAAAAGGAGTGACTTCAGAGAAGATGCTGAGTAATGCAATCAAAGCATACGATAGTCATGGCTGACAAGGGGCTTGTGACCAGGAAAAGAAGCTGCATCCAAGTCCCAGTGACCCATTGAAGACATACTACTCCCTTAGGTGTGCCATTACTCATGGCTCCCAACTAAGCTCATGGGAGAAATTCCTCACCCTTCTCTGACACCCATGGGAGCTGGTCAGTACCTACCCAGGTACAGGTAACCCAGGCACAGGGGCCTCTGTTCTAACTAGACACAGAAAGGCAAAGGAAGATGATCCCTTGCCCACAGCAGGTGCTAGAGAGGCTGTAAGGTGACTTCTATTTCTCTCCTACTCTGTACCTGCACCAGGACAACTCTAAGTACCTGGAGGAAAGCACAAGTGGTCTCACTTGAAATTCATGGTCAGTAGTTTCCCAAAACAAAAACAGTTGCCATAGATTCAATTCTGATTCATGGTGAGTCCACGTGTGTCACAGTAGAATTGCACTCCATAGGGTTTTTAATGGCTGTGACTTTTCGGAAATAGATCACCGGGGCTTTCTTCCAAGGTACCTCTGGGTAGAAGTAATCTTTCAACTTTTTGGTTAACAACTGAGCACACTAACCGTCTGCACCACTCAGAACTCCTCACTAGTCTTTAGAAAGCCCTTCATGGACGACATTGCTGGAATGTCTGATCATGCATTCCTTCTTCTAGATGCCTTTCTTACACTGCTCCTCTCCTCTAACCTCACCCCCCATTGCATCCTCAGGGGGTGGCTTTGCTTCTGTTAAATTGGTGAATGAAGAAGGACGACTTAATTCACTGACTTAATAGGAATAGTCAGAAGAGATCTTCCAGGGCTCCCATTACACCAACACTCAGCATTTGAGTCCTAACACGTGGCCTCTCTCGTGTGACTACCCTACACTCTCCCTCTTAGCAATGGTCAACTACTCTACTTATACATTAGAAAACCACTCCAGCAATTCTCTCTGGCACCTTTCATGCTCCTCCTACTAGATCTTTCCTACTGGCATATAAATATGGTATAATCTCTCTTATCTTAAAAAAACCAAACCTCTTTTGAGCCTGCTTACCTTTCCAGCTACCACCCAACTCTTCTCCTTTTAAGTAAAACTGCTTCCAAGAGTTGTTTTTGCTCATTGTCTCCAATTTCTCTTTTTTGTTCTCTCTTGAGCCCAGTCTAGTGAAGTTTTGACTGCCATCACCCCTCAAAGTTCTACCTTTCCATGTGGCTTTTACGTTGCTGCATTCCTCCACACTGACTCAGCTGGTCATCTCCTCCTCTTTCACGTACTTTCTTCACTTGCTTCCAGGATACTACACTTACCAGGTTTTCTTTTCTTTCTGGCCACTCCTTCTCAGTCTCACTTTGCTGGTTCCCCCTTATCTTTACCTTTTAAATGTCCATCTATGCTCATGCTCTTTGTCATCATATTATCTAGTCTCAGGGCCTTAATGCCATGCATAAAGGGATCTTCTGGCCCCTCCCCTGTCCTCATGAAACTCACTTCTTTTGATATCATTTCCTATCTTCATTCTTTCCATCTTGCTGCTAGTTCCTAGAACCCTGGAGTCATCTTGGATGCCTCTTGTTCTTTCATACACCACTTGCAGTGCAGCAGTGCAGCAGTGCAGCAGTGCATCCTGAAGGCTAAACCTTCATGCTCTATCCAGACTCCAGCCACTACTCTCATCACCTCTGTACCACAACCCTTGTCCAAGCCAGCATAGTTTCTTCCTATAGTGTTGCAGGGATGTCCTAACTGGTCTTTTTGCTTCCATTCTTGCTCCTCTACAGCCACTTCTTAACATACCAGCCACAGGAGGCTGTTAAAATATCTGATCATATCTTTTTTGGCTCCAAGTTTCACTCACAGAAAAAGTCAGTGACCTTACAGTGTTCACAGTGATCCCATCCCCTACCACATCTACTCACACAGAAACCTCTTCAGCCAAAGTGGATTCTTGCCATTCCTAGAACTCCCCCAGCATGATCTGGCCTCAGGGCCTTTCTCCCTCCTGAGGTAAAATGTCCTCAATTAACCAATCACACACTTTGCTTCTCTACCTCCTTTAGGTCTTTGCTCAAATAGTATCTTCTCAATGAAGCTTTCCATGACCACCTTATTTTAAATTGTGTAACCATCTGAACATTGTCTATCATCCTTTCCTGCTTTATCTTTTACAATAACATTTATTACTGTCTGATAAATAATCACATTTATTTATTCTGTTTAATACATGCCTTTGCCCCATCACTGGAATGTTTATAATTACTCATTAAATTGTCTTCTTCACCGAAATGAAAACTCTCTGAGGATGGGGCTTTGGGCTTGCTCTGTTCACTATTACATCTGCAAACCCTAGAATGACTGATTGGATGAGTGGTCAGAATGTAGTTACTCTGGGTTTGGTTCCTAGAAGCTGGCAAGATGTGAGGCAGGCTCTTCAGATATAAATTCCATCAGCTATCCAGGCCTCCATGGATGTTGGCATGTGGCAAGAGACTGAGGCCATGGAGTTACTATTAGAAGCTTCCATTCTGCCAAAGAATACATCACCCCTGTCAAACACGCTGAGGGAGGACACTCGCCTTTTCCCTCATGACCCTGCCTTGATTTCTGAGGAGGCGTTTACTGAGGAAGCCCAAAGGCCCAGTGGTGCTTCTTCTTTGGGTGCAGCTTGTTCTCTGTATTCTGATCCAGAGGGGCCTAACCTGACCAAGGTCTCTAAAGCTCCATCAACATCAGGACAAGATGTTCTGGAACCCTCTTTTAGGTTTCACAAGCAACATATGCTTAGGAAATTATCACCATCAAAGACAGATGAGATAGCTTTTGAGGATATGATTGAAAAACCTGGTTATTTGGAGTCTCTACTATGGGTCAGACAGGCCTGTAAACAGGGAAACTTCTCTGATACCAGGAGCCTGCAGCAGTAGTGAATCTCTTTCAATAGACCTTCTTACTTCCCCTACATGTGTTGGGAGATGTTGGCATTTTACTATTTTGTCAACAGGGGAAAGAGTATAATCAGGTAATAGTTTAAATGCTGGTTTTCTTGTTTACTCTCTCCATTTACTTAGGTCTTGGTGGACTGAGTCTTTTACCATTATGTAGTATCCCGCTTTGTCCCTAGTCATTTCCTTTGCTCTGAAGTCTACTTTATACGATATTAATACAGCCACTCTTGCTTTGTTTGATTCATGTTTGCATTATCTTTTTCCAATTTTGTCTTAAGTGTTTGCATATATTGAGCACTATATTAAATGGTGTTATAATGTTTGCTTCAGTCAATCATCAAATATGATTTAAGAAACTGATGAGGGAAAAGATAATCTATTTTATTCCCCACCCCCAATTCCATTGTTTCCTCTTGGAAGTTCCAAGTTTCTGCTAACATTTCCTTTCTGTTCAGAGCTCTTCCTTTAGCCATTCTTTAAGGGTAGGCCTGCAAGGGACAAATCTTAGTTCTCTGCATCGAAGAATGTCTTTATTTACCCTTTATTCCTAAAGATACTTTTGCTGGATAGAAACTTTGTGGTCGACAGTTCTTTTCTTTCAGCACTTGAAAAATGTTGTTCTTTCCTTCTAACCTCCATGGTTTTAGATGAGAAATTTGCTGTCACGTGAATTGGTGCTCCCTTAGAGGAAAGGCATTGCTTCTCTCTAACCTTTTTCAAGACTTTTTTCTGTAGTTTTCAAATGTTTCATTACCGTGTGTCAGTGTGGATTTCTTTGAGTTTATCCTGTTTGGAGTTTGCCCATCTTCTTAAATCTGTAGATTTGTGTCTTTTGCCAAATTTGGGAAGTTTTCAGCCATTATGTCTTCAAATATTTTTTCAACACTGCACTCTTTCTCCTCTCCTTCTGGGACGCTGGTGAACTGAACATTAGCTCCTTTGTTGTATTTCCACAGGTCCCTGAGGCTCGGTTTATTTTTCCACTTTATTTTCTCTGTTATTCAGATTGTGTAATTTCTACTGACCTGTTTTCTAGTTCACTGTTTCCTTTGTCACCTTCAATCTACTATTGAGCCCATCAGTAAGTATTTTATTTTGGTTATTGTATTTTTCAGTTCGATAATTTCCCTTTGGTTCTTTTTTACATCTTCTATTTCTTGGATAATTTTTTAAATGTGGTTATGGTGCTCACAACTGCTTCTCGAAGCATTTTTATAATTGCTGCTTTAAAATTCTTGTCAGATAATTCCAAGGAGTGACTCATATCAGCTTTGGTATCTGTTGATTGTCTTTTCACATTCAAGCTGTGACTTCCCTAGTTCTTAGCATGATGAATGATTTTTGTAATTGTATCCTGCACATTTGGGGTATTATGCTGTGAGAATCTTGATCATATCTAATCTTCTCTTTTAGCAAGCAGTCATCCTCTTAAGGTGTAATGCACAGATCTGGGTGGAGGTGAATGTTCAGTGCCCTGCTTGGCTCTGCTGGCTCCATCTCTGCAAGAGTGCTGACTCACACTGCCTCAGTGCAGATGGGAAGGGTGGCATCTTCCTGATAAAAGCAGCCTGCTGACTCACAATTCCTCATTGCCTCTAAGTGGAGATAGTGGTCCAGCTCCCCAATGACTCTACTTTGGGGAAGAGCAGTGTGTCAACTATCCCTCCTTCCCACTGCCTCATTCAATCTTGTTGATGCTGGGTAGGTATGGAGGCTTAGCTCCCTGTTGGGCACTGCTGGCACCAGGGGCTATTGTGGAGTGCCAACTAGTTTTTTCCCACTGTTTTGTTAAGTCTCATTCTGCTGGTGGAGATGAAGGAAAAGATCTCCACAGGACATCAGTGACACTATTCTGGTGGGGGAATCAGAGTGTTGCCTGCTTCTGCCCAGGAGGGACCAGAAGACTAGCTTTCTGCTTAACCTAGTGATACATCAGATAGGGACTATGGTATTTAAGGTTACATGTCAACTTGGCTGGGCCTGGTTTTAAGTGGCTGAGCAGCTGGATGTAGTTATTCTCCATGATGAGACTGGTAATCAACCCCATGATGGAATCTACTGTGAGAAGCTGAGTAGCTGCCTCAGGGATGTGGTCTGCTTCCAGTATATAAGCAGCAGCATTGAGAAAGGTCTTGAGCTTCTTGGCATGTTTGGATCTTGTATTTAGCCAAGTCTTCATTCAGCAGCCTGCCATGTTGCCTGACAATCTTGGGACTGTTTCTGGACTTGAACTAGTGGCCTGCTGTGTTGCTTGATAATCATGGGACTGTGCCATTTTATTTGTCAACCTTGGGTTTATTAGCCTTAGCAGTCAGCAGCTGCCTAAGTTAAGAGATGCCTCTTACTCCAGTGGGCTGGGAACAAGAGGCAGAGCTGAAGCCCAAGGTCTGGGGGTCTTCTAGCCTCCTATGCTGTATGAGAATAAGTCCCTGTTTGCCAAACTCACCCATTTGTGGTATATTACTGTTAGAGTGGCACTAGTGGACCAAAATAGAAGCATTACCACTTCTGCTCTTGAGGTCGTAGAAGTATGTGGAAACTCAACTCCCCACTTGGCCCTGTTGAGACAGCTGGGTCAGGAGGGAGTGGTTTTTCTGTTGATGTTTGGCTAGGGTAGAGTATTAACAGCCAAAAAAGGCTCTCCATTCTATTAGGCTACCTTTTGTCCAGTCCTTTGGCTTGGGGGGAACAGGCTTTTCTAGTCTGTGACTGTTGGAAATTTGGGGTTAGAGACTTCTGCAGTGCCCTATCTGGAATATGGGAGGAAATATGGAAACCCAGGGAGCTCCCTGTGGTCTTTCCTCATGTCCCAAGGTCCCTAAGCAGTCTGTCTTCTTCATTCCACCTTTTAAAATCTTCCTATGCCTGCTTGTTCTGTTATATTCAGTGTATTTTAACTGTTAAGAGGGCATACCTAGGAGAAATGGGGCTTCTGCATTTGGTCAGATGCCTCTTCGTTCATTTATTTGCCCATGATTTCCTGAGGCCCCACTATGTTCTAGGCATCCAGCTAGGAACTGGGGACTCACAATGAACAACACAGACATTCCTGTCCTACTACTTATAGAAGTAGTCTACACTACTTACATCTGAATGGAGACAAAGTATAAGTAATTACAACAAAGGTTATTGAATGTTACAATAAAGCTTCTCACACTAAAGACAGAGAGGAACAACTATCAATCAATCAATCAATCCAACAAGTCACACAATTAGAGTTAAGTTTGAGTATCTCTCAAGTCCTACAAATTCATTTTCAAGTAATACACACAATTGTTAGATATAAGATTGGGAATGATTTGCCTCTAGGGTTCTTTTGTGATTTGACAATATTTTAAAATGCAAGAACTATTATCACAGAGTTATCACAGAGTCCACAGCTGCTGACAGTACCTATGAGCAATGGGACTTTTTAGCAACAAATAAGCTGCAGCAAATAAACATGATCAAATCTCTCAACAGCACCAGAGCAAAGCTGAAAATAACTGCAAAGCCTAATTTTCGAATCTATACACTTGGACAGCACCTGCTATTGGTAGAAAGTCAATGGTTCTTGACTGGGAGCAGAGTCTCCTTTTTTGGAAAGTTGTCCTTATTTGGAAGAATACTGGACATTCTGACCCAAGAAAGTTCAGTTCCCTGGCTTATTTTCACTAATCCAATTTGTTGATATATTTTAGGATAGCTAAACTCAGTTATGATGAATAATTCTTGAAGCTATTCATAATAAAGAAAACATGATTCTAAGGCCAAACTGATCAAGAAGTCTCATATACCTTTTCCTCACTTATCGATTATCTTGTTATCTGACATTTCACATTTACAACAATAGTTTAAAAAAAAAAAAAAAAACTATCCAACTATTTTGCACATTAACAATGCACATCTGGCAGTAACAAATTCCAGGGGCCATGACTGGTGAACCCATGTGCACACAGAAAGCTCACATTGCATAGTACTTCATCACTCTGAAGGTGAGATAGGGAGTGGTCTCCCCAAGCGGACAGGGTCCCGGGTGGAGTGGATGGGGCCTGGAATGGGGCTAGTGGCAACAGAATACTGCCCAGCAGGTCCTGGGTGCCCACAGGGGGCTGAGGCAACCAGTGTTCTGAAAGTGGGCTGCCCACAGAGTAGGGGATGAAGTGAGACCCCAGAGTCTGGCCCAGTTCCCAGATCTGAGTGCCAACAGGGACAGGGAGGGCCACGGTCAGAAGGAGCCCTGAGATGGGTCACTTGGGTGCCCAGAGCCCACGGGGCCTCACATCAGCTGACTGGCACTTGTGCAGCCCCTTATGCTTCCTGGATGCACCCCCCCCCCCAAGGGTGGACACAGGTGAGGTGGGACAGGCTCCACAAGTCATGGGTCAAAAAACCAACCTCCTGGTGTGTAGATTACACAGTGAAACCTGTGAGACCTGGAACTGAATCAGGCTGCCCTGTTCTTCCGGATCTCAGCAGTTTTCTGTCTTTGGTAGAAAATGTAGACTCAATAGTTTTCTATTGCTTTAGTAAAAAATATTTGTGTTTTCTTTCTCTGACAGGTTTGTACCTTACACAGGTTCCAGCTTCCATAGGCTTTATTGTATAATTCATTTACAGTTTCTATAAGCTTCTGTGGTACCCAGCCCAAGTCTCTGGTGAGTTGCTTTTAGGCAAAACCTATCATCTAACATTCCATTTGGTCAGTCATTGTAAAGTCACCATCCACAAGATGAGCTAAATAAGTATCAGGTCTAATACCAAAATGGTATTAGAAATTCCATAAGGAAAAACATGTACTTTTCAGTAAAGAAAGGAGTGGTCCTGGGTATACTGTAGAAAATTGATTTAATTATGTCTATTTTAACACTCAGCATGTTGCAATGACTTCCATACATCTAGAAGTGCAATTTTTTTGGAAGTGCTCATTCAGTTCATTTCAACATCTGATCTGGGATAAAATGTTGAGTCAGAATGGTTTAACACAATTCATTTAAAATTCTTTTAAGGGGTAGATAACAACAGAATATGACGCTAAACTTAAATCAGAAACAGAAGAAAGTTATATTTCTTATGAACAATTAAACACTTAGAAGGCAATGAGGAACTTCTTCCTCAGGAAAAGTCCTCAGATGCCCTCATTATCTGGGTTCTCTTTCCCACTCAAGGAAGGGATGAATCCAACAGCATGGTAGAGAGTTTTGGGTCACCTTCTACAGAACAGAAAGTTGCTGGCTGGTGGACCATTCCTCACTTCCATAGCCCAGGGAGTGAACTGACCCAATGGGGACCTCAGCAAACCAACTCCCCCTTGCCTCCCTCAGCCCGGGTTTCCTCAGAATATGCTCACTGAGAAGAGGGCCTTTGTTTACCAGTTCCTCGGTCCCTGGAGAGCTTGTCTTCCTTCTCCTCCCTCTCCAACGTGCTGCTGGAGGATGAGATGCTGGAGGTAGAGCAGTTGTCCCTCTCGTTCACCTCCTCATTCTGCCTTTCTTTCTCACTGAGGGAGGCTCTTTCTTCTGGCTCTTGCTCCAGTGCTCGCTCCACCTTGCTTGCTGCTTCTGGAGGGGCTATTTCCCGGCTGGCCTCATCAGCAACCTGCCCCACCTCTGCCTTGGGTTCTGCCTCTGGTTCAGGCTCAGGATCCCCGGCACTTGCTGGGAGGCAACAATGGAGATAATATTCACAACAGTCATTTCTTCAGAGGATGAAGTGGGGTGTGAAAATGGATGTGAGGTTGATTTTTCTGGGCTGACTTGTGATTTCTAAAGATAGTCCCCCAAGATTCCTACTCCCTAGTTATTCAATCAAACACTAATCTAGGTACTGCTATGAAGGGATTTTGCCCATAAAATTAAAAGCCCAAGTCAGTTGACTTTAAAATTTGGCGATTACCCAGGTGGGCCTGACCCAATTAGGTGAATGTTTTAAAAACAGAAACAGGGAGATTAGGAACATGAGAAGGATTTGACATGGCATTGCCATCTTTGAAGAAGGGGTCACATGATGAGGAATGCAGGTGGCATCTAGAAGACAGAGACTGACCCCTGGGGGACAGCCAGCAAGAAAACAGGGTCTTTAGTTCCTCAAGCATGAGGAAATGAATTCATCAAACTGGATAAGCCTGGAAGTAAATTCTTCCCAGAGCTTCCCAATAGGAAACCAGCTAGGCAAGACCTTGATTTCAGTCTTGTGTTACACAAAGTAGGTAATCCAGTTGAGCTTTTGACTGATGAAAATTGAGTTCATAAATGGGGTTATTAATTTATTTTTGTATTTTTATTTTAGATTTACTTTTTTAAAATTTTTTTATTGTGATGTGGGTGGAAGTTTACAGAGCAAATTCACTTTCCACACGGCAGCTCACATACACTTTGTCTCATGACATTGACTGCAATTTCCCACACCACCACCACTCCCCTCCCACTTCCTTACCACAGTTACCTCTTCCCTGTGTCCTTCCCTCCCATGTACTCCTGCCCCCCCCCCCAGTTGTCTCCCTGGGCATACACAGCCCTTCTATTCTCCCATGATTGATCTCTCCAAGGAGTGTATCTACCTAATGTAAATGTTCACTTCCTATGCCTGTCTTTTGTTTGGCTGGAAGCCATGGGAAGTAGGTTCTATTTCAGACCAGAAGGGTAGCTAGAGGCCATAGTCTCAGTGGTTCTATCAGGCTCTATCAGACCAGCAAACCTGCCCCCTCCCTTTTTTTAAAATGATTTTGAGTTTTGTTTCACATTGTTCTCCCACTCTATCCAGGATCTCCTACATAGATCAAATGGGGTTATTTTAAATTGCTACATTTGTAAGGTAATTTGTCGTGCAACAATAAAATAAAAGCTAATACGTGATTCACCCCCCCCCCCCGGGGCCTCTTCAGAGAAATAGAGAAAAATCCACAGTGAAACAAACTGGCAAGCAATAGAAGCCTCATGTTTTCTGCAGTCAGCGGCTAAAGCAATGAGGACCATCAGATCATCATCCTTGCTTGGATTATGTTTGCTTATAATGTGACATTAATCTTTTATGTAGAAAGCTCTTTAGCAGACTCACTGATGGGCACAGAGCTATCTGAAAACCTATCATGTTTGGAGAGTTGATGCCTGCACCAAGGTCAAGTGCTCATGCTTACACTGGTGTGATTCAGCTTATGCATGTTTTGTTGACCAAAATTCTCAACTATGAGATGTTACTTCATCAGAATGGGCAGAAAAATGACTGAGAATACACCCACTCCTTGCTTACTGACGTGGTTAGATTCCAAAGATCAAGTCATCATTATGTGAAAACTGGCATTATGCAAAAATGGAGGATGACCACATCAGATCACAAAATGGAGGATGACGACATCATTACATAACTGCCAAATCACATCATTACATAAGTGCCAAACCACTGAGAATCAAATCTTAGCCAAGTTGACACATAACCTTAACCATCACAGCCAGCTTTACTCTCACCTAGCAACTCAGTGTTCATTACTGCCAGACATACATCATTAATGCACAAAATAGACTTTTTACTACTGTCATAAATATGAAATGTCAGATAACAAGACAGTTTCTAAGTGAGGAATAAGTATACAAAACATTCTGAGCCAACTGCCCTGTGTAATGTCCAGAGGAGGACAGGGCCACGTCTGAAAGGGTACAGGGCTGGTCAAAAGCAATATTGTGTGGCATCCTGGCAGTGGTCCCAGGAGCATATTCCTGAGCCCTAGGCACACATCACCTGAAGCAATCAAAAATTTCATGCAGGATCTGTATAGGACTGACCCGTAAGGGAAGTACCTAGGCCCTGTGAGAACAAGTAGATCAATAAGTTCTCTCTTTGCGGAGGCACCCTGTCAGCTCAGGTGAGTGGGGATGGATGGTGATAGGGTGTGCAGAGCAAGCCCCCATGGCCAGGCACTGGCATTACTGTGGGGAAGAAAGCTCAGGCCTCACTGGGCAGTGGGCCCAGCTGCCCTCAGCAAGATGTAGTTCCGCCAGGACTCACTTGGCCTACTGCCCACCCCCACTCTCCACCCTCTGTCTGCTCTCAGGCTCCCTTCATCTGAGTATGAGTCAGGGAATTGGGTAGGGAGGGAAACAGCGGTGGAGCAGAACACCAGTCTTTCTTTATGTTCTTGGGTAACTTCCAAACACAACAGGGAAGAAATACTCCTCTGAGGGAATCCCCTCAAGTGCTCTCCACAAAGGAATTAGGGGTGCAGTGAGGGCCTCTCCAGCTCTGAAGCCACAGCTTGATTACATATTGTACATCTTCTGCTGGAGTCTCAGTTTAGTACAGGCACCTGTCTCCTGGAGGGACTGAGAGGGAAACGAAGGCCCCCTGCTGTTCAGTGGTTGTCTCCGCAGGGTGGCCCCAAGAGAGAGGTTTCAGGAACTTGGTCTGAGGGCAAAGTTTTAGGCACTAGTAGTTCCCAAAGAATGCCGAACATGATATACAGTGAGCATACATGACCAAGAACAGCATGCCATACACTTTCCTTAAAAGCAAAAATCGGGCTGGGTGCAGGAAAGAGGCAACATGCCTGTCGGAAGAACTCTCTTTGGTGTTGAAGGAGTTTTTATGGTAATTTCTTTTTCATCTGACAATAGATTATTTAGCAAAGAGATACAAAACCCCATTAGTCTTATAAGCATGGCAAAATCAGGGCTTAGGAACAGCAGTGTCATCCATTTGGTTGACAGAAAGCATATGTTTTTGTACACATTTACTTCAGAATAGCCACATCAAAACGGAAATGTGCTTCTAACAGCCTAGCATGTGGCAGGCATTTTAATTGGTTAGCATATGGCAATAGCTGGCAATGGTTTGCAGCTCTGTCAGTGACAGAGAGTAAGGTCAGGTGGCTGCCATAAGCCTGTGTCTACTCACCATCTCCAGAGGAGACTAAAACCGAAAAACCAAACTTACTGTCGCCAAGTTGATTCCAACTCATAGCGACCCTCTAGGAGAGCACAAAACGACCCCACGAGGTTTCCAAGCCTGTAAATCTTCATAGAAGTAGACTGCTACATCTTTCTCCCATGGAGTGGTTGGTAGGTTCAAACAGCCAACCTTGTGGTTAGCAGCTAAGCTCTTTGACCACTGCACCACCAGGGCTCAATTCAGAGGAGACCAAGAAGGTGAAGTAGTGGGAGCTGCAATTTGATGGATGCTTTGTTTCAGGCCTAAAGACATATGTCTACTCTACTGCTATATTTCATTCCACTTAACATATAGAACTGTGCAAGCCACAATGCTGGCCCCTAATTAATCAGTGGCTGACTGGACAGGGGTGGTAATGGACACGCAAACTCTGGAAAAGCCGCACAGTTCCAAGAATAAGTGAGCAATTTCATCCCAATATGTTAGGTCCTAACTCCATGGAATTGATCATTGAAACTTGGGATTCAAAACACTGAAGTCCTCTCTTCCTTCAGTACTGATCAAAGCACATGACTCAGTGTCAACAAGGTCTGACTGCAAAGCTGCAGCATGTGATGCTGTGCTAAGGATGAATAAACCAAATGATATTGACACACATTCAATAAAATCAAGCAAATCACCCAGAGGCTGAGAGTGAAGCCAATAAACAGAAGTAAACATGCTTATTCCTGATGCCGTGGAGAACACGACAAAACACACAATCTGCTTTCAGAGAGTCCGCTACTTGGCAGGGGGCATGCACATAAATGAAACCCGCCAAGAAGGGTCACAGTGGAATGTGATCGTTACCCAAGTGACCCAAGTGAAGGTGTCGGGTATCAAGTGACAAGTAGTCCACAGAGGGAGGAGTGAGGGTCCAGTGCAGAGACATTCCCTAACTATATTAACCAAACCAGAATAACAACGGTAAACGTTCGCTGAAGGCCAAGACTCCTTCTTCTTCTCATGTTGGAAAGCGCCAGCACGATCCTGGGTCAGTATCAGCTCACAAAGTTCTGGCCAATTGTCAGGAAGCACTCAGCATGGCCCTGAGACTCCATACTACATTCCAAAACATTTCTTCTCCTATTTCCTGCACCTTTACATCAGGACCTCCTGCCAATACCCCCTATGGACACACACATACTCACACACACATTCCTCGAGTCACTACCCTAAGCAAGGCCTGCCACCCTATAAGAATCAACTACCCTCAACTGAGGAAACAGGAAGGACCCTGTAAGTCCTTGAGGGAAAGTCCTAAAGGAAGCTACGATATTTGTAACACTTAGAGGTAAATTCCGATGGTGTAGTGCCTGAAGCATTTGGCTACTAACCAGAAGGCTGGCAGTTCAGACCCACCAGCCACCCCTTGGAGGGAAGATTGGTCAATCTACTTCCATAGGATACTGCCTCGGAAAGCCAAGGACGGGTCACTATGAGTCGGAAACAACTGGACGGCTGTGAATTTGGTTTTGGTTTTTGTAAAGGTAAACACGCTATTTATAGCTTCCCACTTTTGGTAGTCCTAGTATACTCGACGGCACATAACAACAACAACAAGTATTTAATGAGCCTTTCTACAGCTCAACAATGGTGTCAGCAGTGAGAGAGTGACACAGACCCAACGTATCAAGGAGATTACATAGGAACAGGGAGAAGAGACCCTAAACATCCTAAAATATGGTCTCTGTATGCTAAAGGATGGTGAACCCTACCATCAAGCAAAATCCCAACC